AGGAACCACCTCTCCATGTCTGCAGAGCTTTCAGGCGCCTATAGATCAGGACATCGGGACAGATCAAGGCCAACACCCCGACTTTGTAGCAGCCGAAACCCAGAATCGGCATTGACCTCGGCGAGATTGTCGAGCAGGGGAGTAGCAGTGGTGGCATGGCGAACCCGTTTTTGACAGAGCCTGCGCCCCAAAAGGAATCATTGAAAAGACAACAATCAACACGAAACTTGGCCAGCGGATGATCGGCCGTGTGTCTGAGGTTGGACTGTAACAGCATCCCCAGCAATCAATGGATGAATCAGAACGAAAGGAACGAGACCCTGGCTTCCCATCATTCAGCTCCAAGTTTGGCACCTGAATGCTAAAAATTAACCGCCAACTGCTGTAAGCTTGGAATGCGTGTGCAGTCCGCGCAAGCTGCACCTTTAGCGCCATGCTGGTAGCTGCAGGTGAAACTCAAGGCTCAACGTGCGTATGTTAAAACTCGTGAGTCGACTCTCGCTGAATAGCTCAAACGACGAGTTTCTACTCTGTAAGAAAGGATCTGACGAACGAAGTCTACAAAACTTCGGGGGGCTGGAGCCTGTCGCAGAGAAGACAGCGGCAGCTCTGCCGTTCAGAAACTGCGCATGGCTGGGTCTGTCCATCCATTTACCATTCGAGGGACCTGTTTTTTCACCGAAGGGATCTTGCAGAAAGCGCGTTGTGGTGAAGTTGCGGCCTCGCACGAAACATGCTCCCAGAAGAGCCCAAAACGGGAGCAGATTGCAAGACTGCACGCCTCCACAACTTGTTTCAAGCTGCCTGGAAACCGCATGCTTCTCGCAACACGACCTCGCACAGACTAGTCTCAAACTGCAAAGCTAGCAAGAGGGGTCTGTTGGATTTCTCAAGGCCGTGGTGGGAATCTCTGCGTGCTTACTTGCTGACTTCTTGCAATCGTGTGGAATCAAAGATGTTGCCACACGTAACATGAGGGGAACTGCATCTCGCCATTCGGCTGACTCAAACCGCATGCTTCATCACGAGGGACCACGTTTCCGTACAGCTTGATGTACTGCAGTGAATTTATGCCCTTGGCTGAGTTTGCAGGTGCTTTCTGTCCAGCGTTCTCGTTTCACAAGAACAACGGCTGCCGACCACGGATCGCTGGACCCACACCTGCTGGATTCGCTTCCGTCTCCATGCTTTGGGAAGGATTTGTGGCACACAACATCCTACCTGCCGGAATACTGAATCGGCAGGTCTCATGCACGTCTGAGGGTCCCCGAGTTTCGACTTTTTTGTTCTGCGGCTAATGCTTGTTGGAGTCTTGAGTTTGAGAGTCGGAAGACAATCTGGAAGTGTCCATGCTTTTCGGGTTTTTGGTTTAATCGTTATAGAAGCTGTGGGCACCACTGGTAAACTTGAACCCTTGCTAGTGGGGCTAGCATGATGCGGAGCCTCTGTATGAGCAAATGCTCGAAGGTATGCATATGGACTCAAGCCCACGAAATTATTTCTGGTCAAGTGACTGCCTGAAACGGACTTAGTTGTTCTGAGCACTGCGAAGGGATGCCCACATGGCCTTGGCAGCATCACCCGGGAACTTGTCCACTCGCTCCAGCAATCTCGGAAGAGTCGGGGTACTGGTTGCTACAGCTTTGGTGCATCAAATGGTCGCGTAGGCGTACGCATCGCAGAACATCTGCGAAAAGAGGAAGTTCGCGCTGAAATTGCCTATCAGCATATTTGTGGCTGCACGACAATGGACCGGGAGAAGGACTTCAGCATTGGACACACGAGAAATGAATGCAGGTCGGTTACGAAGAATTTGACGCAAGCGGCGGTTTTCAAAGTCGTTCAGTCCGCAAGAAGTTGAGATTTACCCCCATGAAGTTCCATGCCACACACTTTGCCAGCATCAGTAACCGTCAGAGGAGGCAAGTGTCGTTAGTCTGCATACACAATGTCAAGCAACAAATGACCCCGATTTACGTATCCAAAGAACGACGACAACGACAACAACAACAGCAGCAACAGCAACAGCAGCAACAACAACAACAACAAGTTCTATTGGACGCTGAGCGAACGGGCTCTGCTCATAGCGGGCGAATTGCCACGTTCGGGCGGACTTGTCCGTTTCCCTAAGGCTTGTCCGGAGTCGGCGGGACAGACTGGGAAAGAAGGCAGAAAGCGCGGTCGGAGACCGGTTTCCGATAAGCCGGGGTTGTCGAACCAAAGAGCATCAAGCCGGACGCTTGACCTGCCAGGGGAACCGCCCCAAGAAAATTCAAGCACCGGCATCAGACGCAAGGTAACCCCGAAAAGAGTTAGCGGTTCCGGACTGCAGAGGCACCGGGCAACCGTCAAAATATTTGTACCAAGGGTTGTTGCGCTTACACAATGCAAATCTCACGCAAGCCTCCTTGCCGTTCATGTCACGGCACCAGGACGGATCAAACCCCGGAATGGGTGCCCGACGGTCGGAGGCTGCAGGCCGAGCGGGCTGTGTGGGTTAGTGTGGCCCGACTGGTGCGGGAGCAAGCATGGAGCCTCACTGATAGCTTGAACGAAGTTGGCTTCTGCCGCGCTACAAGCCCGTCCCCGTCCGGCCCGCTGTTTGCCTCAGGAAACTCCCGCCAACACTGCTGCGCAGCATCCTGGGAAGAAGCAGCGGACCCACCTGGATAGCTCGCCTGCTTCCACTCCGTCTGCTGAGAGTGCCCAGGTCGTCCACAAAGCCACCCCGAAGGGCAACGCTAAGGCCAAATCGGCCCGTTTCATGAAGCGTGGGCGGGTGGAGCGACCAGCTGGAATCTGAAGAGCCATAGTGACAAACTCATCACTAAACCTCTTTAATCGTCGAGCTGCACCAAGTCGAGCGTGGAGAGTGCCGTGACGATAATGTCGACGCAACGACGCAGCGGGAGCGCAACAGAAACACTAGATGAAAGACGCATTCGCATGGACGCCATCAGCCCGCCCCATCCCCCCTCCCCATCCTTGCACGGAAGCAAGAAGAAACAAAAACACGGCAAGTCCAAAGAAGAAAGCAGCCGACCTGCAAGCAAAAAAAACAAAACAGAGAAGCCACGGATGACTGCAAATACCCATGCAAGTCCAAACTGTCGTGTGCGAAAAAGTCGAGTTTTGGCAAAGAGCAGCCTACGAAATGCAAAGCGCAGAGTTTTTGTCCAGACGGCCCTGTGCCAAACCTCGCGTCGAGTTTTAGCACATTCCAGCCCTGAGATCGCTCCACCCTTCGCCTCCGCAGACGCACCAGCTGCCAGCAGCAACAGCAACAGCAACAACAACAACAACCACCACCACAAACACAACCAAGAGAACAACAACCAATTCAACAACGACCAAGGCAGCGGCAGCAGGAGCAGCAGCAGCAGCAAGGGAAACTGAACAACAGTGCCCGACTGTCGCGGTGCGTCAACCGCCATAAACATTATCATTACATCCAACTGGCAAGAATCCCAAGTCTTTCAGAGGTTTGCGAGTCGGTATATCATGATGACGATGTTGCTGCTGATGATTCGTACCCGTGGTTGCTGCCTTGTTGCAAGAGCCACATCACGAATGGCACAACGAACATGAGGACAAAAGAGAACGATTATGAAAATGATCTCTGAATCACCCACTGTTCCCGAACTTCTACTTACATCAATGCAACAGAGCAACGGAAACCCACATTTCATCCGCAGAGGTTGCTTGAATGCAGTGCGCCACAAGGCAATGCTAGCCACGGACAACCGATACCTGGAGCACAACCTCACATCAACATCACAAAATCATCATCACATCAACAGCATCACGTCATGCCATCCAAACCACCTCCACGCAGAAACTATCTGCCACGCTTTCGGGAAAGAACAACATAAATGCTAAGAGAAAACAGCCTGTAACCAGTAGACCGTCTACCGTGCCATCGTCCTGCCTCCAGGCAGGCTTCGCGCTTATGAGCAGATACCTTTGGCCCCGGAAAAAGAAGAGGAGAAAAGCCATCTAACAGCCTGAGTACCCCACTCATTGCCGGGATCAAGTCTGCTTTGGTAAGCAGACATGCAGACCGAGGTGCAAACCTCGGAGTAGGTGAGACTTGCACCATTGACAATGCTTGCAAATCGATTCAAGCCCAGAATTGTTTGACAGGGTCCACAACCTTAAAGGACACTGTGTTCCCACCGGTAAAGCCGCGCTATATCTTTAAGTCCCACCGAATGGCTTGCTTCAAGGTTCGGGAGAAGCGAAAGGATCCACAACAAAGAAATCATCCCGAGGTCACAGATTTGTGGCAAGTCCTGTTTCTAGTCTCCATCAAGATGACCCGTGAACGTTCGGATAAGCTGGATACACACCGTATCCACGTAAGCACTGATGTATGTACCTGTATACTTGTGGATGTGATGTAGATATATCTCGTATGCTTTCATGGAAAGACCTGGCAACACAGGGTGTTGCTAGGCCAGTTCCCAGGCCATGAACAATTTCGGAGAATTGCTTCTGTGTGCATCTTGTCGGTGGTTCTCCTGAGCCTCGTGACATGCCCTGTGCCTGTCTTGTCGTTGGGCTTTCGCCACACTCGGCACCTTCGCATTAGTGGCCTCGACCAGGTCCTCGTGCATTACAAGAATTTGGAATGGCTGCTATAGGCGGTGTCTGCCTCCGCATCGGAAGATCGAGAGGGGACGTGGGTGCAGGCGGCTGCAATGGCGGAGAGTGAGGTCGAGGCACGACAGACGGCCAGCGCAAAGAGTGCATCGGCTTCGGCCTCGAAAGAAGCAACGATGCATACAAAGCCAAGTCTAGCATGGAAGTAACAGAAACCGTATGCCGCTCCGGGCCGCTCCGGGTCCGCTCCTATCACAAGCTCGCCTCGTCGAGGGGACACTTCTGATGATATGCCTCGACGAAGGGCCGCACGCCTGCTCGTTAGCCAGCTAAGCCAGCTAAGCATGCAAGGTGTGTCAAACATGCATCCGCCTTCTGCCAGTGGAGTGTCTTCAGGCACATGAAAGAAAAGATATGCCTGCGGAATCAGGGCCACAACTAGTGGAGCGCGGTCGAAAAACGGACTGGCTGAGACTGGGGCCATGCCAATCGCCGCATCCGAGCACGTGTAACTGTAGAGCCTAACAAGCAGCTGCACACGCGACTACCCGATATTAGCCTGAACCAAAGCGCTCTTAAGCCCCTCGCATGTCCCCGAAGTCCAGTACCCCAACTCGCCCTGACAAAAGGCAGGTACAATACAGCTACGCGGATTAAGTGCGACATACCTATGCGAAAGCCCACGGTCTAGTCCGATGAAACATTTGCGGGCCATCAACCCCAACGACGAGGTTGTAATCGTTCGGGTCGTTGTGGACGATAGATCCTCAGTCGTAGGAGTCATTGCGCAGTTTCAGACTGAATGCAAGCAGCCGGGGGTTGTGCGCCGAAGCTTCGGCAGCGAGGACTTCAGTTGCAAGCGCTGAGCATCAAGTACCTCCCCCAATTCGTCCAGACATGCAGTCGTCCTAGCCTAATGAATGATAGCCTGCGTCTGTGACAGCACGGCCTACTGCTTCGGAAGTTGTCTTCGCTTCTCAGTTCCTAACCGCATGCAGAAAAGACTGACCATCCCGGCTCGTAGGTGCGATAATTGATAAAGCATCGCAGCCACCCGTACTTGAAACATCTAAACACGCAACTACCCCGAAAGCGTATGGCGACGGGGGGGGCTTCGCCTTGAGCCAAAGTGAAACCTCTCGTTTCTACTTTCCCTCGCAAAGCACCTCGTCAAGACTGCCTGACACTTCTACTGATTCTACTACTAACTGATGCTAACTTTCTTGGAAGATTCCGACCTTTCAGATGTCGGGTCACCCGCCGGACCAGATCCTGCTGCTGGCCCTGCAACTATGAACTTGGGATGGCATTGACTGGAAATTGACGCCTGTGCTGCGTGGGCCTCCTTGACATCACCGATGTGCGACTCAACTACTTCAAAGCATCGCTGCAGATCCCATACCTTCGACGCTGAGGTGAGAGAGACGTGAGAGCAGCTGGTTATTGTCCTGAGGCTACTGCAAACTCACGAGTTGCCGCAGAATGCTGGAACTCCTGCAAGGCCTCATGTTATGAGACTGGCGCCACAACGAAAGGCAATCTCTCAACATGTGTAAGACCAGAACCGCAGTGATGCTTCCAACAGCCTAGCCGCTCCAGCCAGACCGACATTTTTGCAAAGGCTTTCGATGGCCCAGGGCCCAGCACCTTCTCAGTCCCGCGCCTCCCCAACAGCTGCAAACAGCGAGGCCAGCTTGCCAGAGTCCGAGCCGGCCTGGCACCATCGCGACAGGAACAATGACCGCTCGACGGCGCGAGCGGAGCGGACAGCTGCCGTCACCTCGGCAGCGGCGTCCGCGAGCATCTGCCCAGGCCTCGACAGAGCGACGCTCCGCCGCCGTCCGTCCGAGTCGCTCCGAGGTCGAGGCAAGAAGGACAAGGCTCTGCAGAAGCATCTGCCTTCTTTGCCTCCTCCGATTTTGGAGATACTCTGCAGCTGCGGTCTCTCCATGTTTCTGCTCCTTCAGGTAAATCCATCGCCAGAAGTGCCTCGCCTGTGTCTTGAGATCGTAACCTTGCCAAGAGAACGCAAGCGCCGCCCGTGGCACCATGACCCTACTCATCCGACTCAGATCAAGGTCCCGAGGCATGCACAAATGCTGGCAGCTCGCACCTCGTGCCGTGGCGTACTCCAAAGCGAGGCACCTGGACAGATAGGTCTGATGGTGTCTGCTGTGTCACGTGGCTGAGGCTGAGGTGCAGGCTGGCACTCGACGAAGTCTCGTGAGTCCTCTGGATTGTGCACCTTGAAAACGACGAGGTCGCCCTGCGGTGTTTTGGACACGCAAGGCTCACAACTGGGACAGCTCGTCGGCACCTTAGCATCGGCTGACCTGCTCAGAATTCTGCGGTCTAGTTGTGTAGGCCAAGCAAGAGCGAAACATCAGCCGACCTGAGCAAAAAATTGAGGTCTCGTTCCGAAGGCAACGACCTCAGATCCAGCTGATGCCAAGCGGCCGATTCGAAACTGCCTAAACAGTGAACAAGAACGCATGAGACTCTCGAAATCTGAGGCATAAGCTTCTCAAGCTGAAATTCACCAAATCGACGAGCCACCTCCGCGACTTGCGGCCAAGAAAATGGAGGTCGTGAATCAATGCCTCGGCAAGGGTGTCTGCTTGGTCTGCTCTGTCATGCCACGGCCGAGTGCAAGACTGGAGCTGGCCATTTGCCGTGGGCTCCCGGTGTGAGCCTTACGAGATTCGGCCTGTTTACTTACTCTTATCACGAGGCATGTTCCAGAACTGTAGTTCAATTTCAAACACGCGCGCGTGAACAACCTGGCCAACTCTGCTAAGTACTCTGTGAGCCAAGGTGTATTGTGCCCTCCGCTCGCCGAGCAGGACAATCGAAACGGGACCAACCAAATCCTTCTCACACTTTGTCACTCTGCATCCATGTTAGACCAGAAGAACCTTGTCGATGCCGAGCTGGTGTTCAGCGGCATAAGTTCCATTAGCTATCTTCATTAACACAAGCAGCTCAAGCCTACTCCAACTGCTCACGTGGGCAGGATGCAACCTGAGCCGGGTGATACTGAAAATGGCATCATTGCAACCGCCTTCCGCTCCTCAGCAAGAAGCGTGCAGGCTGTCTTGGTCTCTCCAAGACATTTATAACGAGCCTCTCCTGCAAGGGGTGTGCGTTTAGTTGCGGCTTGTAGGAGACTTTCTCCTGGCACCCGCCTCCTGCACCACATCATCTACCGCTGCATCTCCATGCAGTGACCTTTCGAGATATTTCTCATGGCATCGTCAAAGCCATTCGCGCAGCCTGTCCTCTCCAGAAGCATCTCGGCTGCCTTCAAGAAGCGGCACAGCAAATACAAAGTTCTGTAGCTTTGTGGTCGCCTCGTCTTCAGCGCTTTGGTAGAGCCTCGGAAATTCCCAGACAGCGCACAGACACCATCAAGCTGCTCCTGTTTTTAGGCTGGTCCATCCATATACATATACATATATATATATATGTACGGCCAGGATCAACCATTTCATCTAACGAGCCCTTGCAATGATGACCTTGGTTTGGGTTGGTGTCACAGGGTCGTTTCGATGGTGGATCCCGGAGTGGATGATCAGGTTCGGAAGGAGGCGTAAGTCAGGCGTGGTGCAGCGAAAGTTTCAGGGCTGTTGTTTCTTGCCGCAACACACCGAATCTCCGAACTTACACTTAAATTCTGAAAATAGTTCCGTCTAATCGAGCCTTGTAAACTTGCATAAGGCGTAAGCCGTGCCAGCCCAGGAAATTGAATTTTGTCCATATTCGCACCCAACAGGAAGCCTGTGGGGACGAAACGGACTTGTCATGATCGGGCTGGGGCCATGCTGCAGCATCTCGGACGCGTTGCTCACGCTCCGCACCTGGCTGAAAAGTCTTCAAAGTTCAAAAGTCACTGGCAGTTTGCTGTGCCTTTTTGCTCTGCTGCCCAGGAGATGAGTGCATCCTGCACGAGGCAGATCAAGGCAGGACAGGACGGCGACACCTCCGGCCCGTCCGCCTGAATCTCGCCTGGGCGAAGGCAACCCCTCCGCTGCAGCAGCAAGAAGGCCTGACAGTCTTCGATGATTCGCCAAGCAAACTCCCAAGGTTTGGGTCCTGCGGTCGCGGGTCGGTGGCAGCCAGTTCGATCACCGTTACAGGCCACTGCATCGCTGAGCCCTTTGGGCAGGCCTGGCAGGACACTCGAAAACGGCGCCTGTGTCCGTGGTTTGTCTAGGTACCTCCGAATCAAGCTCGGAACTTGTCGTTCGTGACATACGGACCAGCCGAAACAAAGTCCCGGCCGGAAATATCCTGGGGCCGACAGTTTTTTTGTATTGACATCAAGTCGCACTAACCAGTGAACCGGTCTGATCTTGCGTTGCCAGGCATTTGTCACCGCGGGGCGTGTGTCTGCTAAGCCGATATTCAGCAAAGCACCCGATGCACCCACCGGAGAAATCAGGCTGCTTTCACTTGGCTTTTCGCGGCCCTGGAGATGGCTTCCGGGCGGCTGCCTCCACGGTAGGATGTTCTGAGCCAAGGTATGGCTGTTTCTCAAAGGCACCTTGACATCCTTCTTGCATTTGGCTTTTGGCTTCATGAGGGCTGCGTCGAGGAGCTTGAGTCCTGCACCCGCATGCCATGCTGTCTCAGTGGGGTCGCAAACCCGGTCTTTCAGTGGGGTCGCAAGCCGGTAAACACAGCCGGGCCTTGCATGCTGCCCATTGGAATGCCGATTCCATTCGTCGGCGGCACCTGCACGAGCAGTCGTGTCATCAGGACCGCGGAAAGGCCTTCGTGACACCTTGCAGTGGACCGGATTTATCCGTATGAGACGGGATCCTTTGCCCCCGCCATCCACCGCATCCTGACAGCTGCTTGTCTGGCGCACGGTTCATGAGCTTTCTAGAGAGGTTGGTCAACCCGGCCTCACCCTGAACACGAACGCTGGGGATTGCAAGCCCCCCTCCACACTCCACGACCACAATAGCAGCTTTGTTTTCATGCAGCTTCCAGAGCCACCTTTGCTAAACACAATTGGCATCAAAAGTCCTAAGCACGCAGCCCACATGAGTAGCGGACTGATTGTACGCATCGCCACGTACTAGGGCATCCGTGGATGCCTTTGTCCGGGGCACATCACTGAACCACTGATGAGAGGACGAACGGCTCGACAACACGAAGACTGTCTTGAAGACATCCAACATGGAAGACCCCACATCAATATCATTGTCAGCTAATGTTGCGCATGTCCTGCAGTCTCAGCCACGTTGTAGTTCTTGTCGTGACAAAACCAAACCTCAAAAGAGTCGTGAAACTGACAACAATGAAGATTATTCTCATGTGATCCTCAAAAAAACTGGCATGCACAGGCTGAGCCTGCGGCATTGGGTCTAGCCAGAGATCCACACCGAGGACACTTGAAGCAGTCCCGCTCCAAATGTACCGCGTCGCGGAATCGAAGTCCCTGAATATTCGGAATGCAAGGGACACACACACACTCTCTCTCTCTCTCTCTCTCGATTCGTTGATTTGGCTGAGACAAGGCGACTGAGAACTCTGGCCCCAGGATCTATTTCTGTATCCAGCCCGTCGGGAATTACCGCAGCGGGCCAAACTTCATCTGAACGATCTTCGCGCAACCCCCTACACCTCGGGAGCATCTGAAGACACAACTGGCAACGCAATGTCCACGCAATGCTTAGTTGCAGAGCTGAGGCACTTCCTCCTGTCCTTCGTGCACTGGAGATGATGCAGGTCCCCGTGGCAAGTCACCACTTTCTCTGGGGAGAAGCCGACCTTCTCGAACATTCCGTCGATGTTCGAGGTCCAGACGTAGTATGGTTTGCCCAAAGTTGCGGCCCATCGCAGCAACACCGCATAGCCTTCAACAAGAATCGACAGGTGAAAGGAGGAAGAAAGAGCACGAGCGAGTGAGAGAGAGAGAGAGAGAGAGAGAGAGAGAGAGAGGGAAAGGGGG